CCGGTCCGCGGACCGGGGGTTGGGGATCACTGCTCTAATGTCTCACTGAATATGAGAATGTCGTCCAAGTACACTAGAACCCCCTTATACAAGTGTTCATGCAACACCTCGTTAATCAATTGCATGAATACAGCAGGGGCCCCTTGGAGGCCAAAAGGCAAAACTTTGAATTGGAAGCTGCCCAATGGGCAATTGAAGGCAGTTTTCCACTCATCCCCCTCCTTTATGCGCACTCGGTAGTAGGCTTCTCTCAAGTCTAGTTTTGTGAACACCTTGCCTTTAGAAATGTAGTTCAGTAAGTCTTTCATGAGGTGGAGCGGGTAGGTGTTTTCCACGCACACAGCATTTATTCCATGAAAATCAATGCAGAGCCTCATCCACCTATCTTTCTTCTCTTTAAAGAGCACCGGGGCAGCTACTCTTGATTTTTAAGGTTGGATGAAGCCTCGGGCCAAGTTGGCATCAATGTACTTCCTTAGTTCTGCCATCTGTTTTGGGGTCATTGAGTACATCTTTGGTTAGGGAGCTTAGCCCCAGGTTCAATCTCAATCGCATAGTCAGTCTGGTGTTGAGGAGGGAGAACATTGCAGTCTTCCTCACTGAAAACTTTGACCAGTTCCCTGTATTCTTTGGGGACCTGGGGAGTCCCCGGAGGGGTTTCTATTGCTGTCATGGCCCTCTCCTGTAGGCTGAGGCCGTGTCCAAGGCCACAGACATAATATACCAGTCCTGAAGCCGTTCAGGCACACCTCGAATGCCACACGCCTTGTGGAGCTCCGGATCGAGGGCTTCTTTAAAATAGTGGAGGAGAATAGACTCTGGCCACTGTCTCAGATTTCCTGCCACTCTCTGAAACTCTCAAACGAACTCTTTGGGGGCGCACATCCTTTGCTTCAGTTCCTTTATTATCGCTTCATTCTAATTTTTTAGGTCAGTGTCCTCGAACCTGCCTCGGACAAGTTGGACGAACGTGTTGGCATCATGGAGTTCCACAGTGCCCTTGTTGTGTAGCTGAGCTATCCAGTCCACTGCTTCTCCTTTATTCATTCCTTTTTCGATGGCTGAGACTAGTTTGTGGTCACTGTGGTATCAATCCCCATAAAGGTCAATGTGTGTTGAGATTCTGTTTAGGAAGTACGTCAACTTCCTCGGGGCCCCGTCAAAGGTTGTTTGAAATCTGGGGGGCTTGACCACTGGAGCTGGTAGAGCCTGTGCTGGCGGCACTGCGGCTGGGATCGGTGGCTGCGCTGTGGCCAGAACTGCTGGGGCAGCAGCTGGTAGCACCACCAGCACTATGGGAGGTGGTCCCGGTGAAGGTGGCAGCCCTGCGGCGGGCGATGGCCCCGGGGTGACAGGTAGTACCATGGCAGGAGGCACTAGTGGTGTTGCCACCAGTTGCTGGAGCTGGGATGGTGGTGGATATTGTGCTGGCATCCATTGGCATTGAACCCAACCATGCCCTGGATAGAACGCCCAGCCGGGGGGGATGCATTCGGCTGGTGGCAGCATATTGACCGGTTGGTGAAGGGGGGGGGTGATCACCCTCGGCATTCCCTGGGGGATCAATTTGGTGTTGTAGCCCTGCTCCCGCAATGGCTGGGGCCCCCATGGGTTGACTAAATTGAGTGGGGTAGGGGCTTCCATAGTTCCTGGCGGAGTGGAAGGATGGTGAAGTGGCGCCCTTGGCACTTGCTGGCCTCGAATCCAGAAAGGTGAATGTGGGCAGTGCCAAGATCCACCTCTGCTGGCCAGTTTGGGGCGGCGGGACATAGCTGCCTACTGTGAGATGCTCAAAATGATCCGGGAGCCCCATCAGCAACTGGCTTCACAAAGGGGGTGTCAGGATCCACTCTTGGGTATGGTCGGATCCCAGCTGCCTAACCTCTCTCCACACTGGGGTCCAGGTTGTTTCCATCTGGTACTCCGGTTCCTTCTCCAGATGTGGAAAGGCTGCTACAGTTGCTCCCCCTAAGCCTCAGGTTCTTTGCGCCAGGCTCCTAGCAAGTGTTCTGCTTCAGCGGCTTCTGCTTCTCGCACCACATCTTCTGAAGGGCAATAGGTGGTCTTCACATGGACCGCTTGGCCACCTGCAGCTGCTCCCTCATTGATCGTAGGTTTCTCCTCCATCTTCCCTGAGTTTTCACACCGCCCAACTTGTGGGTAGGCACTGGGGCTCAGGACCCCGAATAGCACCCCAAGGAGTGGGGAGCTGATTGTACTTTTTAAAGGAGATTTGGGTTAGTGTCAGTGTTCCAAAAAACACCCCCAGTGAAATAAAACTCTGAGGCTAGAAGTTCCTCAAAGTTCCACTTTATTAGAGATGTCATGTTGGCACTGTCAAGCCTGCAGCCATTTCCTTTTAGGATCTTTGGCCTGCCACACACACTATTATTTTACTATGCTTTTTCATTAGTGGGGAATTGGGAGGGGGAATAGTAAGGAGTAGAATGTGTTGTTGTCAAAATAAAAAATTCCTTTCTAGAAGCCCAAGGTCATCTTTTGTTCTCTACACCTCTGAACCTGATCGGAACTGGATGGGTGGAACTGCCAGCGTGGCAGTGGAAGATTGGACCATGTGAAGGACTTGTGGGTGTGGGGGCAAGATCATGAACTTTCAACTGGGTGGGAACCCCGGGAAGCTTTCAGATTCGGGTTTCCACAGATGTACCAACATGTCTCTCTTAATAAATTGGAAGTTTGAGGAAAGCTGTTCCTTGGACTCTGATTTAATTTTGGATGATATTTGGAACGCTGACAGGCACATCTGGGATGGTCCAATCCATTCTTCAGACTTGACTGGAGACAATCCCCAGTCACTCCCATCCAGGTGCAGGCAAATGTCCTTGACTCCTAGAGTAAGGAATGTTGTTATGGCTAAGTCTCCACCGCTCCAACAAAAATCTCCCTCCCAATTTTCCAGGCTAAAAGTCAGGAAGCTAAAATGAAAAAATGGCTTCCAAAACTGACAGAAACTTCTTCCAGGTCCAATCCACTGCTTTCTTCCGCTTTCTCACTGCTTGCTCTGACCAGCTGTCACTGCTTCGGTTCGGCCATTAATGGCCATCTTCTTCTCCACCTTCTTTCAGGAAAGATTACTCCTGATCAGCAAAACGGTCCACCACCCATTTACGATCAACATAAAACCCTTCCTCTCCCATCATCCCTACAGGGCAACTTCGGCTCCAAGGAGCCCCTCAGACGGACAGAAATCGGCTGTGCTCCACGGAGAGCCCGCTCGCACACCCATTCACAATGACTCCAGCTGGCCCCTCCTCCTAACTGATCTTTTTGACAGACAAACTTCATGAAAATGATTTGTCTGGTCAAGGCTATATGTTGGCTATGGCAAATAAAATTTTCAGAAAATTAATGTTGCATTGGCTTTTACCTTAAATATCTTATTTTGCATTTAAAGTTTGGCATTGCATGGTATGAAAGTCTGAATTTGGTGGGATTGAGCCATTCACTCATTTGAAGAGCACAGATTTTCTGTTTGAACCATAGAGCTTCATTTTATTAAGAAAGAATTCACGGGATGAAACTACATATGCCCCATAAGAGGCTAGTTTTGCCATTATAGCAACTAGACTTTGTACCCCAAATCTTACAAATATTTATGCTTCCTTGGCAAGGAAAATTTACCAATACAATTGTCTATTTTGTTTTTTTTCCTTCCAGACCAAACTAGCAAACTTAAATATATTCTCCAAGATGCACGATTTTTTCTTATAAAAAGTAACAACCATGAAAATGTCTCACTTGCAAAAGCTAAGGTATGTTGGAGTCCACTCCTATGACTCCTGTGAAGTAAATTACATATGCAAAGTATGGAGTCAGATTAATTGCTTTTCTTTTTAATTATTTAATTATTGTTTCTTTTTCTTTTATAAAATATAAATACTAAAATGTAAATATAAAATAAAATAAAATATTTATTCTCAGGTCAGGCAGTGAACTAAAAAGAAATAGAAATTTTATAAATAAAATAAAATATATGTTTTATTTTATAACTAATTTTATTTAACTATTTCTTTTTAGTTCATTGCCTGACCTGAGAATGGATAACTTTTTTCCCCCGCCACATGTTTCAAATTATTATTTTCAACCCCCAGAAGTAATGGGAACTTCTTGGTAATGTCACTGGAATGGGTAATAGCAAACCTTTTGTTCCTATTTGCCCCCTATATTTTGTAGGTTTTATGCAAAATATAAAAAATCTAAAAAATGCTGAAAAATCACAATGTTGATGTTAGGTTTCAAATCCGACAAATATTTACCGTATTTTTCAGAGTATAAGATGCACCGGAGTATAAGACGCACCAAGGTTTTGAAGAGGCATTTTTTTTAAAGTAGGTAGGTAGATAGAGGGATAGAGAGGGAGAGGAAGAGAGAGAAATACAGTAGGTAGGTAGGGAGAGAGAGTAGGTAGGTAGGTAGGTAGATAAAGTGATAGAGAGAGAGAAATAGAGAGAGAGAGAAATAGAGAAATACAGTAGGTAGGGAGGGAGACAGAGAGAGAGGGTGTAGGTAGGTAGGTAGGTAGAGAGATAAAGAGAGATAAATACAGTAGATGGGGAGAGAGAGAGTACGTAGGTAGGTAGGTTGATGAGAGAGAAATACAGTAGGTAGGTAGGGAGAGAAAGTAGGTAGGTAGGTAGGTAGATAAAGTGATAGAGAGAGAGAAATAGAGAGAGAGAGAAATAGAGAAATACAGTAGGTAGGTAGGGAGAGAGAGTGTAGGTAGGTAGGTAGATAAAGGGATAGAGAGAGAGAGAAATAGAGATAGAGAAATAGAGAAATACAGTAGGTAGGTAGGGAGAGAGAGTGTAGGTAGGTAGGTAGATAAAGGGATAGAGAG